TATGAAAATCTAAACAAAAATCAAGATCTCATAATCAAGCAATCATAACGATAATTATGGGTTTTGATATGTGGGCTGCAATTGTCTTAGAAGTCATGAGTTTCATAGAAATGATATGTTTGTCCATAGCCCGATAAACATCTACCTTCAACTAATAGGGTTTTACCGTATTAGGCTGGTAGGTGTAATGTCATGGTTCTACCATGACAAAGACTCTACCTCAAACTTTCTCCACCTCTACTTCACTTTACCACCATGTTTGCCACTATTATGAGTGGTGTACCAAAAAGAGAAGGGAGAAGAAAAGAGGGGGAAGAGAGAGAAAGATAAAGAGACAGTTGAAGATATATATATATATATATATATATATATATATATATATATATATATATATATAAAGATAGATAGATAGAGAGAGGAGGAGGAGGAGGAAGCGCGGCTAATTCTCGCCGAGCTCGACTTGAACCACACACCCGACACCGTGCGTACCGTAGATGAGATGAATAATCGCGGTTCCTACCACAAGCACACCCACCCGCCTTAGGAGCTGGAGTGAGATGAGGATCAGGGGCGGACGCAAGATTCCATAGTAGGTGTTCCCGGTGACATATTTTATAGTACAAAAAAATCAAAAAATTTCCACTACGTACAGGAAAAACAGATGTTGTCGGTGCAACCTCACACACCTAATGAAAACCGCTCTTGATGATGGTATAAAATACAAACAACATGTTTTTTCGACTATATATAAAAGAAATTGAATCCATGTCATAAAAACCGAAAAAGTTGAACCACAAACAAACCATATATCATATATGACCATATTCGAATCAATTCTCCATTGTAGAATTTCCAAAATCGGTGTCAAACACTCGATTGTGGACTTTTGTAAAATAGGTCTAATTTAGGCCTAGAATCAGATTTGGATAAAGTAATGGATGCCGGATGGATTGGAAATGGAATTTGAATTGGATAAAGTCAAAACGTCAAAGAAGCTCGAAGCCCACTTAAATCGGCCCATACGCATTTTATAATTTATATGCAGCAGCAGAACATTTGAAAGAGAATTGACTATTATATATTCAGAAACTTATTGGAATCTGGAACTCCAAAACGATCATCTTCAACCTAGTTTCCCTCCAACTGCTCTCTCAGTGAAGGTACCTCTTTTATTTCTCTATAAATTGGTAGAAATGCATTGACGTTTTTGTATAAGTACCCAATCTACCCATCCCCTTTTCGTTTTCACTGAAGCCATTCGGTAATCACGTTACGAAATTAAGTAAAAGTGCCAATATTTTCTTGAATTTTGTTTCCGAAACACATAATCTAAACCTTAGCAATTACATGAAACCACCGTTTGTCAATTCCATAGTCAATAGTCATTGTATTTATTATTGTCGTTTCAAGCACTACAGGAGTAGGGTTTGGGGGTTTTATTGGTTGTGTAAAAAAATGAATGTTTTGATTGTAGGATCGAGTTTAAATTTGGGCATAGAAGGGGGATTCCAACAATGGGCGCCAATAGTTGAGTGGAATAATTATTAAAAAAAAAAAAGAATTCAAGATTCAAAGAAAAACTGATTTTCAACTATTTGGTATTGAAAATTAAACAATTGGGAATCATAGGTATGTAAAGTAAACCTTGTAATGACTTGTATTTGTAATTCTTGCTATATATCATTGTTTTTTTTTTCATCAATTGACTCTAGTATGACAAGGTTTGACTGTTAGAATGACGTAGGACATTGAGTGACATAATTTATATACATCCGTTCTTACTTCTCAGTGAAAAGTTCATATCTTCACTCAGTTTTTTTGTCACAGGATCTTAATGGTTGAAGAATCACAAAGGATATTAAAGTAAATATGAGCACACTCTCAAATGCCTTTTCTCTGCTAGAACTGGATGTTGAGGATGATAGGGAAGAGACAACCAATGCTGCTGATAATAAAAAGAAAGCCAATGGTATATGTTTCAGCTGTTACCCTAAGAACCATCACCTTATAATTCATTACTAGTTTTGTTTGAATTTAGTAAGATAAAATGCCAAAAATATTGTTACTTATTTGTACAAGTTATTGGGTACTGATGCAGGTAACCATGATAAAGAAACTGATAGTCTTCAAGTTCAAGATGCAACCCTAATTAAGAATGATAAAGGCACTCGTCAAACCCTAGACATGTTAGAAGGAGAATATAGGTTGCCTCTTGTGTGGATTGACTTGGAAATGACAGGTAGGTTTCAGTTATTCAGTTTTGAGTTTTTTAATGTACATAATTGAAAAAAGTGTCCTTGTTGATTACTCAATATTCATTCAAGTAAGTTGGTGTATGTGTAGGATTGAATATTGAAGTAGATAGAATACTGGAGATTGCTTGTGTGATCACAGATGGGAAGTTGACCATATCTGTAGAGGTAAGTTGGGAGTTTCTGGTTATTGATACACTCTTGGTTGGTGGCTTTTATCATGATAATCTTGTTACTAACTTTTTGTTATTTTCTTGCTTAGTTTGTGTACTTTATTATTTTAACAGACAATATTATTAGTTTCCACAGGAACTGAAAATGATTTATTTTTATGTTCAGGGTCCTGACTTGGTCATACATCAAACAAAAGAGTGTCTTGAAAAGATGGGCGAATGGTGTCAAGATCATCATGCTGCAAGTGGTAAGTACCTTTTAGCTCATAATTAACCAGCTAAAATAAAGGATATAAATTGCAAAAGACGTGATTACCCTTCCCATTCTTATCATCTAACATAGCCCTACAAAGCTCTTCAAGTCTTGTGTAACAAACCCTAAACATGTCATGGTTGTTTATAGGTTTGACTGAAAGGGTGATCCAAAGTTCCATCAGTGAAAAAGAAGCTGAACAGCAGGTAATCTAACTCTTGTCTTTAGTTACTTTTTATCAAATCTATTATCATAGAAAACAACTATATTTTACATAAAAGAGGGAATCATGTAAATTATAAATCGGCATTATTAATTTATAATAGTTGCAATGAGCAAATTGGTTAGCTTACTTGAAAATTTTCCAAATAGGGAAATTAAAGTATAGCTTTTTTGTATTTTCATTTCCTTTTTTCTGCCAGGAATTAGTTAGTATGTTCCACATTTCTTGATGATGTATAAACTATATATGAGCCTTTTGGTAAAAAATATAACCATTTTTTGTTTTGTTTAATGTTTAATAAACACCTGATATGCTGTGTAGGTTGTAGATTTTGTCAAGAAACATGTGGGCACATATACTCCTCTGCTTGCAGGAAATTCAATTTATGTTGATTTTCTTTTCTTGAAGGTAAAAGAAAAGCCAAAACTTGAGTTCTATGGTCTAATTCATGAATTAATTGCTCCACTTTTGCGACATAAAATGATTAAAAAAAACAAATTTTTTTTATTCCGCTATGATACTGACTTTTTAAAGTTTTATTTTCTTTTTGCAGAAATACATGCCTAATTTGGCTAGTCTTTTCTCTCATGTAGTTGTTGATGTCAGCAGCATTAAGGCTTTATGTCTCCGTTGGTTCCCAAGAGGTGATATTTTTATCTGTTATTGAAATTTGTATGGATTTAAGCTTTAAAAAGATTTTAAATATTGGAAGACCAACATTAATATCTGTAAAAAAATGTTATTGGTTCATAGATAACAAGAAAGCTCCAAAGAAGGAGAACAAGCATAGAGCCATGGATGACATAAAAGAAAGCATAGCAGAGCTGAAATACTACAAGGAAAATGTATTCAAATCATCAAAGTCTAAGAAGTAACAACTAGTCACATGTATGAAGCATTGTTGAATGTTGACTTTTTAAGTTTGTTAAAATGATCACAATATTGATGAAGAGTGATCATAGGTAGCTAGCAGTTGGTAGAAACACTATGTTCTATAACTGTGTTGTCTTTAAATTTTAAATTAGCACTCCAAGTGTAACTTTATTTAAAAAAAAAAAAAGGAGGCATGTTTGTGTTCGAGGTGAGCTTTTATAGTATTTTTTTGTTCTTGAAAAGTGATTGATTATAATAGAGTTGCCAAGATGGTGAGCTCAGTTTATGACTGCAAATGTGTCAAAACGAGTTCAAGCTTGACTAAAAAGATGCTAAGAGTAGCTTGATTAATTAGCTCAATAATAGAAAGATTTGGGAGCCTGAAATGATCTATCAAAACTATGTTTAATTGGATTGAAAAGCTGGAAAACACTATAAGAACTAGGTTAAATAAGTCTTATTTGAGTTTGTATGGTTTTCATCGAGTACAATAAAGGGGGCTGATTTATCCACATAAGTTTTTTTATCTCTCCACTGAAAAAATAGTGGATAGACAATTATACCCTCATTTAACTTGAGAGTAAATTATGTAAAACAGATCTGCAAATTATTCTTCTTCCACTTCCTTTTCAGTGATCACGGAAGAGCAGGTCCTCCGGACTCCGGTCACCATCTCCGGTGATCACCTCCTCTAAACTACCACATCCCTCCATCTCCCACCACCACTAACCTCCATCCCTTTCACTCAAAAGTAGAACCTGACCCTCTCTAAACTATCTTCCCCTCTCTTCCCCGATTACCATCTCCGGAAACCACTGATAAGTTGAAGGTCTTTAAGGTTGTGTTAGATGACACCCTTGATTATCTCCGTGATTCCATCTCCTCCATGGATGTGAAATACAGTGATAAGTTGTTCAACCTTAACAAAATCGACGACCTGAAAACATGGTTGAGTACTGATCTTACCAACCAAGATACGTGTTTGGATGCTCCGGAAGAAATGAACTCGACATTTCTTGTAGATGTTAACTCTAAAATGCAGAACTCCACCGAGTACGCCATCAATAGTTTGACAATTGTTTCCAAGATCTCAGGGATATTAGGGAAATTTAATATTCAGATCCACAGGAAAGTGCTGGGTGAGAGGGAATCTGAGTAGACGGAATGGGTGATAGTGAGTTGCAGGTTAGCCGGAGAGATTTGTTTACCGGTTCTTCCCCAGTGTTTTATTGAGTTGCAGTTTCCCCGGAGAGGCGGAGATAGTCGTCGCCGATTGCAGGCGAGAGAGAAAGAGAATGGTTGTCGGAGATCGTGATTGGGATCCTACTGTTGAGTGAGAGGGGCGGCGGTTTAGTAGTGGTTTGGAGAAGGTGGGGAGCGGTTAGTTTAGAGCAGGTGGTCGCCGGAGATGGTGACCGGAGCACCTGCTTTACATTGGTGGTGGTGGTGAGTGAAAACTAAAAAGAAGTGGAACGGTGGAAGAAGAAGAGTCGCTGAATATTTGCAGATTTGTGTTTCACTTACTCTAAATTAACGAGGGTATAATTGTCCATCTACTAATTTTCCAGTGGATGGATAAAAAAACTAAGTGGAAATATCAGCACCCTACAATAAACTATATCAAAAAAAAAAAAAAACCCATGAATTTTTTTTTTTTTGAAATTGTTTTCAAGTTAGAGTTCTTTTTTAACCTAAATAAACTATTCTAGTTGAGTTTTGAAATCACGATAATCAAATACCACCCATGTAGAAAACACTCATCCAAACCACAAACTCGATTTTACCTTCGTTTTAATCTATAGATAATGAAGTATCCATAACCTGTTTTAAATTTAATAGAGAGTAGGGGTGTTGTTCATTATTAAACACCACATCTCAGAATTAACGGAAGGAAGAAAGCTCGATTTGAATCATATCCTTCCTACAACATTTTGTTGATCATGGGGAGGGTTGGGTAACCTTGAAAATCTCATAAACAGCTGAAAAATCAAGATCTCCTAAACCAGCGCTTCTAGCCTTCTTGAATGCCTGTATATATATATTTTTTTTTACATTAAATATCTCATAAGTAGGTTGGTATTATGAGTATGAGATATATTAAGTGGCTTACCTCATTGGCGGCAGCTGCCACGGGCATTGATACTGCATTCTCATCACCAAGAGCAAGAGCCAACCTCATGTCCTTCTGTTGATGTTTCAATGGAAATGCAGGGCTGTAACTGTTTTGGATCATTGAAGGTCCTTTCATTTTGAACATTGGATTGGCAATTGCACCAAGATCCTGCATCAAATTTACCCCAAAATCATGAAACTTCAAAGTTTAAGATTGTTTAATTATGGTTCTTACCAATACATCTAGAAGAGTTTTAGGGCTGAGTCCACTTTTGTCAGCAAGAACCAGTCCCTCTGAGAAAGCGTTCATCATACTGCTCAAAACCAATCAATCACCATTAGAAACAACTACATGCTGTTTCTTTTTTACTTGATGCATATTGAACAACTTAACAGAGAAAGTCAGGTCCCCCCTAACTTTCTCTGAAGATACTTACCTTCCCATGATCATATTAACTACAAGTTTCATCTTTGCTCCATTTCCAACCTCTCCCAAGAAAAACGACTTCTTCCCCAATACATCAAAAGCAGGAACAATTTTCTCGTACAATCCCTACATATATCCACATCAACAAAAAAAAAAAAAAAAAAAAAAAAAAAAAAGAGTATCAAACATCCTCCATGTCAATCTCTTTCTTTACACAACTTCATCGTCCATTTTGTTTTTATTCTAAATGGGATTGGGACCCACATTACATTCACACCTTTACTTATTTTCAAACGATATAACACAAAACTTTACCTTTTCACCAGCAGCAAGGATGACCAATTGTCCATCTTCAGCAGGTTTTTTGCTTCCAGAGACTGGAGCTTCAAGAAAAGAACCACCTTTCGCTATTACTGCCTGCAAAATTCCCAAAAAAAAAACATAGCCTTCTTTTAGTATTATATCGATTTTGCCACTGAACTATTACTTTTTATCGATTTTGCCACCATAAATAAAATAATAGTTCGGTGACTAAATCGATAACTTGGTGAAGGCATGTTGTGTTTTTCTGTATTTTGCCCTTTTTTCAAAACAGGGAAACCATGAAAAATGGTTTTTTTAAACAGTGAAAAAAGTATAATGGTTTGATTTAGTTACCTCAAAATATAGTTAAGTGGATAGATCAATAAAATGGTGAAACTACATGTGTTTTTCTGTATTTTTTTTTAACTACACTATTAAAGACATGATTATAGAACAAAAAGTGCAACTTAAACCTCGCTGATTTTAGAAGAAGTTTCAGCATCAACTGTTGACATGTCAATGTAACCTTTTCTACTGCTAATTTCCTCAAGAATACCACCTTTATCAAACACCACCTAAATACAAAAATTACAGCATTTTATATTGTTTGAGAAAATGAGATTCATAATCACATTTTGAGCGTTCTTGTATTATATACAAGAAAATGAAAAATATTAAACATTGATTGATCAAAGTTTCTACTAACAGAAAGAGCTGCAGGAGGATCAGATAGCATTCCAATTGTGTACTTGCACTTCTTTACAACTGCTGCAGGACTTTCCCCTACAGAAGCACCATGCTCTTTTAGCTCATCACACTGCACAAAAACAAGAAATAATTTGAATTTTGAAGAATTGACTTAAAATCTACTTTTGATTGTTCAAAAACATTAATCTTCAAAAATAGCATCAAGTGATTCTAGCTCTGATTCTTGAAGTTGCAATAAACGTGCATCAAAACAGGCCCTGTAACTTCAAGCTCAACAAGAATCATTTCAATTACAAAGAAAGCCTGTATAAAAGCAGGGATCTTGAAATATGGTATCAGATATATAAATTATACTTCTTAAGGTTGCAAGAAAGGGGATGAATCACAGCTCTTAACTTCAAACTCAACAAGAATCATTTCATATAAAAAATCAATCTTCTATTATAGCATCACCATGGATAACATCTTGCGCCTGAAAGACTAGAAACAACTAGAAACATCAAAACAGATGGATATTAACTATCAGATTAGAATATTCAAACCAAAATCAATAATGGATTCTATCAGATGAATATGATATTAAACTAGACTCGGATCCACCGAATGTCTATCTCAAATTGCCAAAAACCCTAAACCACTAAAATCTAATATCAAATCGTCAATCATCTAAATCATCTAATAATCAAATATAAATCAACTATCAAGAACCCAACACAAAAACACCACGTGTATATACATACATATAAATGTCTATATATAGAAAAAGGGTACCTTAGAAAGCGTGCGATTCCAAACAGTGACCTTAAATCCATTGCGAAGCAAGTTCATGGCCATGGCTTTCCCCATTATTCCCATTCCCAAAAACCCAATTTCCTCCATTATCTTCTTGATTTTTCTGTGTATACTGATCTTCAAACCCCTTCACCGATGCTTACTGATCTCCTCTTCTATATATAAATAACGAACAAAATGGAAAGCAATTTACTTACTTTACTGACTCACGGAGCAATTCTAATTGCATTACAATAAAATTTCTTGTTATTGTCGATTGCGTTGCTCATCTTCCACTCATTTTTTATATCAGTTTTTTGTTTTTATTTTTTGAAAATATTCTTGCTGATTATTGGTCCACTTCAGGCTATATCTGCGGTTCGGTTTTTCCCCGAATTCGGGAGTTGTTGGATAATATGATATCTTGATATTCTTACGTGTGCAGTAAAGTAACTGGGCCTAATCTTCGAAATAAAGCCCAAAACTCTAAAGAAAGAAGATCATTTGCAATTGGTTTAACAGTTTAGTATATCTTCAAATAAAATACTAAATAAGGTGAAAATGTTCATTATATGAATTTCATATATATGTAAGATTGTATAAATTGTAATGTGAACAGTAAATAATAATCATTCACATATTCATTAATATTAAATTATAAAATTCATAACATAATAACAATATAAAAGTAGTGTCTTCACGTCTTCATTTTATGTTATTAGAAAAAAAAAAAAAAAAAAAAAAAAGATAACTCATGCTAATTTCGTTTACTATTCTTCAAAATTTAATCAAAAATTATGTAAACACAACTCATACTAATTTTGCTTACTATTCTTCAAAGAGTTAATCAAAAAATATGTATGTAGTAGATTTAGATTGTGTATTATCTCCAATTAGTCAAATATGCAAAATGAAAAAAGATCAGCGAAGAACAAACATGTCAGATTTTGATTATGGAACACGATATAAGGATATTCACAAAAATAACAATTAGGAATGAAATAATCCTCTAAAATGCCCCATATTTTTGACAAAGTGAACAAATGATTACAAGGTTTAAAACACCGTATTTCAGACTATCTTACTTTGTTTTAGATTGTCAAAAAAATGTTGAGACTTGACATAAAGTAATTAAGAATATGACCTTTTTGGGGGTAAAGGTGCATTATTAATGGTCTTCTTGTATATTCCGGACAATCCTTTAATTAAAAAACTGAATCATTATACTCTTTTACGGGTAAACGTCATGAAATTTAACAAAAGGACAACACATACATAACATTTTATTGGGAAAAAAACATGTCTTCGATGTCCGGGACGATGACCACATTCGGAATACATAGTCCAAAGTCCGAAATATGTTTTTTTTAACTTGAAAAGTTGTCATTTTCTAGAAATTTATAGAAAAATATGTAGATTTCGATAAAACTCCATAAAAGTTGGCATTTTCTAGAAAGTAAAATGATGGTATTCATCATATCTTCAATTGGAGAGATGAGAGATGTTTTTTTTTTCTTCAAATAACTTTGATACAAATAAAATATTTGGATTTATAATATACCTGGTTGCTCCAAACCTTATTCCGAAATAAAAATTCATTGCTAATAAAAACCTAAAATTTTGATCATTTCCAAAAGTATATAAGTAACATATGATAATTTTTGTCTATATCACGTATTATTTAACCAAAACAATGATAAAAGGTGTTTTGGGTCTACCCGATCCATTTCGATTGTACAAATTTTAGCGATATCAATATTTGACCAAACGGCCTAACCCCTTGTTTAGCCATATCTAAGGCTATACCAGGGTTGGCGCATGTGAACTTTTCTTGCATACGTGATGTCTCATATTTTAATAATTAATTTTACGCTATTTAAAGTATCATTAAATATATTTGAAATAAGATAAGTTAACGGAAATTTGTGTGGCCCAGGAATAATAGAACATGGCAATCTAACATGTAATGTAGTAATTATAATATTTCCAAAATCAATTATAATGTTATTAAAAATATATATATGTAACAACGAAACAACGTTGTAAAGTGACAAATCTGTTTGTTTATTAATGTTTGTTCTACTTGTAAATGTGCATTGCATGTAGCATCTCCACATGTCCTCTTAAATTATGGACATATTGGACAAAAGTATATATATTATTGGATGTTTTATAGCTTATTTGTTTAGTAATACAATAATAGTTTTATTCATATATCCATATTTTCTTATTAGTTAGACATAACTGCAATAATGGTCCACGTGGTATGTATTTTTTCTGAAGTTTGGTCAAAACCTCGATTTTTTTGGATTGATGGTCATTTTGGCACAGTTTCGATGGGTATTTGGTCACTCGGTAAACTGAAATTACTGTAATGCCCATCATATATTTATTTTTCATTTTTCTTTCGTTGTTTTAATTTAATATATATATATATATATATATATATATATATATATATATATATATATATATATATATCCAATACGATCATACAAACTCAACCCATATGAAGATCTTGGGACGAACCGTATGAAGATCTGGGTTCAAATTCAATAAACATATACATCTCTTTTTAAACCCAAAACGGAAATCCATCACACCTACATTAAAACCCATCTCCAAAGATGATTTTCTTTATATAACATTTGAAGATACAATAGCAACAAAAATTAAGCCTCAAAATCACATGTATAATTAGGTATATTTCGTGAATGGAGATCAAAAGAGAAAGAAGAAAGAGTACGGAGGATTGGTGGTCAAGGTGGGTGAAGAGTAAAGAGTAAGGAGGATCTAAAATTCTCTACTTTGTCTTCTCCCTCGTTGAAGTAAAATGGTGTGTGTAATGTCCCAAAAGTAAGACCCAAAAATTTAAATTTTCAATTAATAAAACAATATCGTAAAACATCATCCTAAATCCCAAGTAAAACAAATGTATCCAAACATCATAAAATATCAGAGTTATCATGAAATGTGGAACAATATCGTGTGCGCACTGCAATCACCCCGAACTCTTCCCTTTTGCACCAGAAGTACCTAAAACATAAACTAAAAACCGTAAGCATGAAGCTTAGTGAATTTCCCCCAAATACCACGTACCACACATATCAAACATATAATGGCCCCCGCCCGATAAGTGTAACGGGTCCTGCCCTAACTCACATAACGGGCCCCGCCCACTGAGTATAACTGGCCTCGCCCTAACTCGCATAATGGGCCCCGCCCGCTGAGTATAACGGGCCTCGCCCTAACTCTCACAACGAGTCCCGCCCAACATACAAACGTACAAGTATAACAAACAATAGCATACATATTACCCATTGGGCCCTTCCCACTAAGCATACATCCACATACACATGTAAGAGTCACGCAGACATCTAGCACCCTAACATAATAAATCATGGGTCGGCATTTGTGCCTTCGACCCGCTAACCATGGTGAGGAAGACTCACCTCAGACTGCTGAATCTCACAAATAAATCTCTAACTGTTGGTCCGAAGATCCCCGCGCTATCATCATAAAATAACATCCAATTAATGATTGCATCCCGACTTATACCAAGAGTCCAAACTAGGGTAAAAGACCATTTTACCTTTTACCTAACTTGGCCCAAGGCCAAAGCCTAAACTAATTACTCAAAAAGGCCCAATTCCAAAAAATGGTCACCCAAGCCCAATTATGGCCCAATCTTCCAAATTGGGCCCAAATCCCTTCGTGGGCCTTCCTCCAAAAGAGTCCAAACTAGAAATATGATGGACCAACAAGGCCATAAACTCCTAAGGTCCACACATGGCCCAAAACCGAAAAGCCCAAATCCGAAGTCCACCTTCTGAGTACGCAGGGCGTACTCAGCTCGTACGCTTAGCGTACTCGCTCTAGGGCTAGTACGCGCAGCATACCAGCTTGTACGCCCAACATACTCCCCAGTTGGCCATCCCACATCACTAAGCACTTAATCCATTCAGCCCCTACTACATACTCTCAGATCTTGTCCCAAAAGATGATTTGTCACGTAAAGTTGGCAACTTTACGTGCATGCATGACTTAATGGGGTTCTAAAGCTCAAAAGAGATTAACAAAGGGTCTTAACACATGCCTGAGTCCATATAAACCATAAAGTTTGCATTTTTATGCTTAAGGGACCCTTAAAATGTCCAGATCTAAAGGGTTAAGCTTTTGAAACGGGCTTAGCTCACAAGGACCAACCAAAAGGGATCAAAATGGCCATAAATAAGCCCAAAAGAAGATCTATACAAAGAGTTGACAAGTTATGGACTTTATACCTCAAAAGTCATGAAATGATGAAGTTAAATCTGGATCTCTAAGCTCTTATCCAAAGAATGAGTCTTCAATATTCTTCTACCACTTCAAGATACACAAAAACACACCAAAATGCTTCACAAGAGCTCAAGAACGCCAAAACAAAGGCTAAGGGCGAGGTTAGGGTTTTCAAGATATGGAGGCTGGTCTAAAATGGTTAGGGGATGGGTTAAAGAAGCTTAAATAGGGCACAAACCCTAAAAATTAGGGTTTGTCCCAAGCCAGCGTACGCCCAACGTACGTGGTCGATGCTCGCGATCATGATCCAACTAGTACGCTAAGTGTACTCATAGAGTACGCCCCGCGTACTAGCCAGAGGACCAATAATGCAATTATTCTATTAAGCAAGGGTTAAAAGGAACTTACAAGGTCCGAATATTACAACATGAAAGTGAATGGATAGATATGTACAACCGATTTGCGTCAAGAGAATCAGAGTGAAACTGAACATGATGTTCGCTCGATCTCCTTCAGGTTTTGAGATATATGTCTCTCTCCTTCCCGCTAACTTTACTTCATACAGAGGATCATAATCGAAAAGGGGGTGAGTTGGTAATCGATTGAAGGAGTTATTGGAGCAAGGAGATGGTGTTCTGGTGAAGCTGCAAGTCGATTAACATCATAGGATCTTAACATGGTGAAACTCTTAATCGATCGAAGGACTTCTTGGGAAAAGGATATGGTGTTTTGGCGAAGCTGCAACCTGAGGTGTGAGAGAGAGCATATGTCATATAACTTCACCTACTTCCCTCATTTTGATTCATCGGAGTTGACCAAATTTTGCATCGATTGCAAAAAAATGAAGTGAGGAGCATACCTTTTTTTTTTTATCTCTTTCTCTCTGTGTACACTTTAACGAAAAGAAGAAGAAGACCCTATGTTGTTAATCGATTGAGAGCTACGACCAGTTCTTGATTTTCTGGGTTTGGA